CCACGTCACATCATTAGGATGTCGTGACCTCATTGGCCAGTTGGCCTACACTGACTGATGGGCTTCGCCCACCGTCACTTCTTCTACTTCTACTTTTATTACGAGAACCTCAGTCTTCTCAACTCCGTGTTTTCCCTTTGCTACCTGCCCCTCCAACTCGTTCTAAATCCATACGTCACTCATGTGCCCCGGTGGGCAAGTCGGCATGGCAGCTTGCCACGGCGACCCGGGAGTACGCTCTCGTGGGCGATGTCGGCGCCAACGCCCCAGTGGCAAGGAGTCGACAACATGATCTTTGCATGGCACGAGGGTCACCGACACCTTTTCAAATGTCGTTAGCGAGTGTGCCACTAAACCAAGGCGCGATGGCTGCGTACACCGTACAAAAAGTTTACGTTAGCATCATTTTGACCAACTGCGGCGATTCATCTGGCTGTGATGTGTCCGCCGAAGGGCCGCGCAAACTAGACATCTTCGCACCCTAGTACGGCTCCACGCTGTTGTACGATACAACTCCACCACCTTTCGAGATGTGGACAACTGGAGTGCACGGGGCCACCACCTCGACGTTGTCCAGTGTCTCAACGTGCATCGGTCAGCAGGGTGCTCGACGCCGCCGAAGTCCTCTCGGATCCAAAATGGAAATTGACAACCATCCTGCGCACCCACTGCCCACACGTGTGTGCGCTCGGCATCGTGTATGCTTACAAGGATAGCCAACGCCAGTGAAGACGCTTGCAAGTTGGCACACATCTCGTTTCTTGGACGGCAGCGGACGCGCAAGACGTTGTTGACAAGGGCCACGCAACTACACGTGCGGCAACCCTGTGGCACTCCTCGACTTAGTATCGTCCTAGACTTCTCGTCACGACCCGCGCGGTCCCTACGCCGCCACCTCTCCGTTTCGCCTCTCGAACTTTGTTCCAGTGCCCAACTGAATGTTTGATTGCAGCGAGGTGGTGATGTCCATGCCGCTCTCCCAGTTGTTTTACCTTTCGCATTCCAGCTTTGGCATGTGTTGCTCCAAGGCGCGACGGATGCAGTGGGCGATCATTCAGGGATGAGCTCACCACGCAGCGGGTGTTGAGCTGGCTCATTTTGTGCGAAGTCTTCCATGAACAAGACGATTCGACAGCAAGAGCAACGGAACGCGGCCCAGCAATGGACAGCGCGACCTCAGTTCGATTCTCAAGAGAAGCAAGTTTGATACCGATCGCAAAGTCCATGTTTGCCGATGCCATCAAGCAGCGCGTCATTTCTATCGTGGTTCCACCGTCGAAAGGGTCAACACGCCAAGATTAAGCGGAGAACACTCGAAGAGACTCTGGAGCGCCAAGACATAACGGACATCGAAGGTTCTCGCGACTCGTCGACAGGTCCAAGGTGCCCTGGACTTTGCCTCGCTTGCTGGATGTGCCGATGATGTCGCGCACAACCTCTCTCGTACAAAGATGTCAATTCCAACGTTAGCAGTGGATTCAGCGATTCAGCGGCGAAATCAGCTAGCTAATCCATCGCCGAGATCACACTTTGGTCAAACCCATATGCCTTAACCACGCTGCACCAACCGTGGTCATTCTTGTAGCACATTTATTCTTGTCCACAGGATTCCTGATATCACCACTACAAACAAATGGGACGATCGAGGAGCTGTTCTTTTGGAAGATTTCGCTTCCCTGCTAACTAAGCAGCCGGATGGCAAACATGCATAGCGTACCCCATAATAGCGCACTTGCCGCTCTTCTTCTGCAAGCAGGCTTGGCGCCACTGCGCGCTGCTGTATTTCACCATTGCAATACATGTCAAACATGTTGTGCATCAACGTGGAGGATTGTATCATCAGCACAAGGTATGTTGGTGGCACATCGCTGCCTCCACCTCCTTCATGTGGATGGCAGGGGGGTGTAGTAGACTGCACGGTGTCCTCACTCCCACAAGGGGGCGGTCCATGGTCGAGGCATTGGCAGAGAAGCGTTGAACGCGAAATGTTGTAAAATTCGCCAATCTCTGGATATGCAAGTGTGCACACCAGGCCAACTCTAGATATTCTATTGCACGCATTTGTTGGAGTGATTGGGTCACGGCAGGAGTGGACGATACCACGACGGCTGAAGTGGATCGACGCCGTCGTGTCTGGCTCGTACGCTGTTTTACCATCACCCAGACACGAATGAATCGTGTCCAAGTGCATTCGTGTTTCAGCTCTGCGACGATACAACTTAGCCGCTCTTGGGCGTCTCTCTGCAGACGGTCAAGGTGTCAATCGTGACTTCACGACAAGTCTTGGTTGTTCAACAGGGGCTCATGTGCTACAGCAGGGCTAGTTGATCCTGCTTGCTTCATGGAGCGGACAGGAATGCCGTGGCTCACGGGCCGAACTTGCAACTCGACTGTTGGGTATTCTGACAATTTTATCCGGAAGATTTTCCGGATGGCCCCATTCTTCCAGGAGCCAGGGAGCAAGAAGCGTAACCAAGACCCGCATAATCGTGCTTGCGACCGACATGGACAACGGCACCGCCTTGGCGATCGTTCTGGGTGTGTTGGTGGGCCTGCCGCTCCTGCGCTTCCTTACGCTGCTCATTGGCAACGTCATTGTTGTCAAACACAAGGAAACGGTGATCGTGGAGCGGTGGGGCAAGTTCCACGCCAAGGTACGGTCGCCGTCATGTGGGCACAGAGTCGATGATGGACAATAGTACGGCCCTGGTCTGCATTTCCTGATCCCGTTCATGGACAACGTCAAGACGATCACGTGGCGTCGGCTGAAGGTATGCCTCATTCGTTGTCGCACGGTCGTGGTTAACGACGGTTGCAGATCAAAATGCCGGACGAGCCGGACGCATTGGTCGACAAGAGCTTCTACCGCATCGACGCGCGCCAAACAATCATGGACTTTAAGGTCCAAACCATCATCACGCGTGACAACGTTGAAATCGAAGTCCGTCCAATGGTGATCTACGAGTTCTGCGACCCCATGAAGGTGTGCTACGAAGTGTACGACTTGAGCCAGGCGATGAAGAAGCTCGTGCACACGACACTACGATCGATCATTGGGGACATGGGCCTTGACGACACTCTCGCATCACGCGAAGAAATCAACCGCGGCATCTTGCTCAAGATCGCCCACATTTGCTTCAACTGGGGCATTCGCATCCACCGCGGTATGTCCGATCCAACAACAATCCATGCTTCCATCGAGTTTTCTTCACATGTTTGGCTCATCATTGTCGTCATGCTCTAGTCGAATTACTTGAAATTTCCCCCAACTCGTCAGTCCAAGAAGCCATGCACAAGCAGCTTTCGGCGGAACGCGTCCGCCGCGCGGCCATCGTGACCGCCGAGGGGTACCGCGAAAAGGTCAAGACGGAAGCCGAGGGCGAATCGCAGGCAAAAATCGCGCTGGCCACGGGCGAGCAGCAATGCATGGTCATTCGTGCCAAAGCGGCGTCGGAGGCACGGCTCCTCATCGCGCGTGCTGAAGCCGAGGCGTTGACGGTGGTCAAGGACTCGCTCAAGGATATTGCGGTCGACACGACCCAGTACATGATCGCCGTGCGTTATATGGAGACACTGGCAGCAATTGCAAACGCGAGCAAGAAGTGTGAAGTGTTTATGCCGCTCGAAACGGACGTCGTCGGCGCCCTCGCGGGGTTTTAGGGCCATCTACTCCCTTAACTTCACATGCCTTAACGTCGAACTGTTCATAGCATGAGAACGTCATGGAGTTGACAACGTCATCGCAGTGCACTTATCGCAGGTTACGGGGCTCAGCTCCCAGAATGCAGTTGGGAACTCGCCGCCTCGAAAGCTTTCCTCTTGTGATGCTGTTTGTTCGCACAGCCGAAGCAGCCTGACGAGCCGTGATTCCATTGCTGAGTGCTCTCCGTGAGGGGTCTAGCTACTAGTCGTGGTCAAGGTCCAAGTGCCGTGGAGATGGGTGCACCTGAATTATTCGTCGGGAAGCTCCTTCGACATGGCATCAAAATACTTGAATATATATATTTGAATTACCCAATCAATATGAATTAAATCAAACGGATGGTTTCCATTGGCTAAATATATTCCTAACAATTTTCAAGCCAACATTTCAGTACGTATAGATAATATGGCGGATACGACAAATCCATCCGACAACAAGCTGATTGGCTGATACGACAAAAAGAAATGATGATTTGTTTTGCGATCCAAGAAGTAGAGGGGATACCCCCTCTACTTAATGGTCCG